CTTTTAACACACATAGATGACTTCTGTAAGTTTGAAATGAATTTTGTTTTAAATGGCATAAAAATAAATACAATGCACTAACTGCTAAATGAGAGCGTTCTGGGGACTTGATCACTTGAGTAACACACAACATTGCCACTCTTGAATAGTAGGGACAGAGTTGCAGATAGACTAGATCTTTTGGCCAGTAGTGGGTTGAATGAGACTTTTAGATATCCATAAAGAATAAAGTTTAATTCCTCTTCTTGGTAGCTTTTTGTTGCTGTTATTTATTTATTTTTACTTATTTATTTGAATTGTAGCTACAGTTAGAAAAGGTTTCCTGGGATTAGGAAGTGTAATTATATAGGCAGCAAACAAAGAGCTGTTTTAGAAATTTTACTGTCATTAGGAGGAAGTTTTAAAAGACTGGAATTCCATTGTCTGGTAAGAAGTAAGGAATATTTATTGATTCCCAAATGGAGCTGAAAAAAACCTTTCCTCTTTTAGAAAGTTGTGAATGACCCAGCGAGAGCTCTAGTAAGCTTTACTGAACCAAGCTGCTAATAGTTATTTAATGTTATTCTTCAGTGTGAAAGAATCTCCGTAGATTTTCCTTTTAATCTCTTTGAATTGCAGGCTCATAAACCTCTCTGATGAGTCCTGCCAGTGTTTTCTTAGATCCCACTGTTGAGACAATGGAGCCACAGAATTCTTTCACTTCTTGTTGTCAGACAAATCCAATAGAACACAAGGTCAGAAGGGCCTATACTTCTAAAGGTTGAAAGATTCTTTTTCAAGTAACCACATAAATTATTTGATTTTATCATTATATTGGTTGGGAATCTCTCTTTAACGATAGTGCATTGCTTTCTACATGTAAGTAAATCTGGAAGTTTTTCTTGTCTCCATATTTGCTTAAGCTTGTGAGCACAGTACAGGTTGTGCACAGACCTTAGCGTTCCTAGATATCTTAGAAAAAGCTGAACCCATTCACTTCAAAAGAATTAGGAATCATGTAGTGATATTGGACTCAAAATGGAGTTTACCAAATGCCAGGCAGTGCTCTTCTTTCCAAAGGGCAGTTTTTAGGTTTTTTAAAAAATTACTACCATTCTGTAGCTAAGATTCCAGATTTAAATCTTGGATCTGTTTATTTAATTAAATCACTTTCTAAGTCAGTTTCTGTTTTCTCATGATTTTTGGTAGTATCATATTAAGGAGGACTTTAAGATAGGGTTTACATTTTCAGATGCCTATTACAGTATTATAATGAGCAAAAATATTTATAATATGTAAAACTCAAAAGAAAACGAACTTATGTCTTTTACAGATGCAGTGCCTGATTAGTAGATAATAAAGCTAATTACAGGGTTCCTGTGCGTTACTTTAAGGACTAGGGAGGAATTAAGTTTTCTAATTATATCTACAGTGGTGGACAAGCAGAGATCATTGTTTAAAAAGAAAAAAAAGAAACATTAGTTTGTGCTCCTTCCTTGTAATGGTAGTGGGGGGCGGGGAGTTGCTGTTGCCCCATTCGCTGGACACCTGCCTCTCAACAAAAGATGGTGGTCTCCTCCCTGCCCCCCGCCCCCGCGCGTTTAGATTCACCTTTTCCTTGTGAGTACCCTCTCCGCTCATCATACAGTTCTCCAGGGATCCAATTTCCCCCTGACTTAATCACCCTCAGCCTTTTGCAGAAGTTGTTAGATTATGGTCCTTTCAGAGGATACACACTTTCTTATGGAGCTCTTTACTTCGTTCCCCTAACTTTTCTTTCCTTATTTCTATTTAAAAATATAGCCATTAGAGTTTCAACACTATACCTAAACCTTTTTATTGAAGTATAGCATACATACAGAGGAATGCACCAATCCTAAGTGTACAGCCTGACGGATTTTCACAGTAAACACACCCATCTAACTAACCAGCACCCCAGCAGGCCCCTGTAACTTTTTCCAGTCACTACTCACTCTCCCACGCCCAACATCACAGGATAGTTTTGCCTGTTACACTTCACATAATGGGGATATCATACAGTACGCAGGTGTCCTCCGCTTTTCAAAAATTTGCTTTACTCCACTTCGCTTTCATGAAAGACCTACATTAGTACCTGCTTTCACTTAATGGAAAGAAATCCTAAGTGGATGTTCACCTTTATGAAAAGAGGTGAAAAGTGAAAACAGTGTTCAGCATTTGCTTTGCGGAGAGCCCCAAGCGGCCAGAGTGGCACTGCCAATCTCTCTCCCTGGGAACTACATTCAGCATCAAGCCACCATAGCTTTGAACTGTGTCTGTGAGCATCTGTGCTTTATCTTGAATTATTTTGTGCATCCGTTAGCAAGATATGTCTTGAGGTAATTTCTTCTTTGCTTTACCTATTTTGCCTTACAAAAGGTTTCATAGGAAAGCTCTACTTTCAGATAGCAGGGGAAGCCTGTGTTCACTCTTGTGTCAGATACTGACTTTTTTTTTTTTTTATCCGGTACGCGGCCCTATCACCACTGTGGCCTCTCCCATTGCGGAGCACGGGCTCCGGATGCGCAGGCTCAGTGGCCATGGCTCACGGGCCCAGCCGCTCCGCGGCACGTGGGATCCTCCTGGACCGGCACGAACCCGTGTCCCCTGCATCGGCAGGCGGACTCTCAACCACTGCGCCACCAGGGAAGCCCAGATACTGACTTTTAAAACCAGAATCCCCACAAAACTTGGACTGTGTGCATGTAGTATTGAATAATCAGGTCAATATGTAGATGTTTAGATAGGCACAGAACAGGAGAAATTTTAATATACTCCTTTTAACTCTGACCTTGGGTAAAGTACTAACCATTTTTATGTTCTGTTTTCTTTCCCTTTTACCATGAGATATGGTCTAAACTGATCTTTCAGCTAAGAAGTAGTTAGCTACAATAAAGTTCCTGTACAGAAAGAGGAAAAAAAATAATAAAAATGTAAAAGCCACTTTTTGGAGTAGGTGGAATAATAGAAGGGGTTCCACATGAAATAGTAACTAGGGAGAATAACAATAGCTTCCTAGTAGAGAAGCAAAACAATACAAACCTGACTTGCTTGGCAGTTATATTTGCCAGTTATTTCTCATTAATTATTTTAAAATAAACATGGCATAATGGATACTTATGAATGGGTTGTCTTTTTTAACAATTAATGTATTACAGGCATAATGGATACTTATGAATGGGTTGTCTTTTTTAACAATTAATGTATTACAGGTGTCCAAGATACGTTAGATTAAGGTTTATTCATCTTGTCATTACCTCTGCCTTGTCTGATTTGCTCTGATTTCAAAATTACTTAAGATATCTGTAAGATACCCTGGAATGTATTTCCCCCAACCAAGCTCTATTAAGTGCCAATTACCCCCATTCTTCAATTCTAAAACAGTGTTTCATTTCTGCATTCAAGCAGATTATCTTGGTCCTTGAGTAAGAAATTGAAACATGCGATAAAAGTCCATGAGACTTTTAGATAGAATTTTTTTTAATTTGGAATACTGAATAATCTATAACCAAGTAAACTTTATATAGAATGTGGAAATTAAATTGTTTTGTTCAGAAACTACCTCGCGTACTGATACACTTTGCATAGGCTATTCAGTGGACACACAGAGATGGAAGAACCACCCCTGACCACTTCGCAGAAGTCTTTATCTTTGGGTTTTAGAACAGTTTAATAGACTTAGTACCCAGTAAATATGAAGTGATATAATATTTGACATACCTTAATAGAAAAGCATGGTGAGTTCAAAATATTGTATAATCTTTTCATCTATTTTAAAATTGTGTAACTCACCAATAAATTTTGAACAGGCAGTTATTAAATATAATTAAATCGCAGGCATTCACACAACGGAACAAAGGGAAGCATTCTCAGCAAGTGAACAAGAGACTAGTGAGACAGCTAAAGAAAATTTCATTGGGGTGGGGGGTGGATTTTAGTAGTTTCTTTTAAGCGTTGACTTCTAGAAGAACAATACAAGCATACAGGAAGTACAGCGTGCCTTTAAAAACAAAGACAAGTGATTCTCATATATAGTTGCTTTCTTTGTCCTACAGTACACTTGCTTTAAGTAAGAGTGCATGCTTATACTACCTAGACCATATTCCTACTAAATTTAGGTGGCATTCCCGGTTTCTTTGGACCTTCCCTCCGTAGGGAAAACTTTGGCCCAGGAAACAGCAGTGGAACATCAACACAGAAAGGTTGTGTTGCGTGGCTATTAAAATATTTTAAAATAATTATCCTTTAAGTTACCTATTACTCTGTTGTGAGGAATTAAAAATCAGATGACTAAAAGCCCCCTTAAATTTGGTTAGAGCCTTATTCTTTAAGGCACTTTTAGCCTGATCTCAGTTGATTGGAAGAACACCCCTGTATTAGTTTGCTCCGTCTGCCATAACAAAATGCCATAGACTGGGTGGTTTAAACAACAGAAATTTATTTCTCACAGTGCTGGAGGCTGAAAAATCCAAGATTGAGGGGCAAGTTGATGAGGATCCTGGTCAGGTCTCTTTCTGGCTTGCAAAGGACCACTTTCTTGCTGTGTCTTCATATGATACTTTCCTCTGTGCATGTGAGTGGGGAGAGACCTCTCTCTTTGTCCTCTTGTAAGGCCATCAATTCTATCAGATTAGGACCCCACTCTTATGACCTCATTTAACCTTAATTACCTTCTAAAAGGCTTATTTCCAAATACAGTATGTTGGGAGTTAGGGCTTCAACATAAGAATTTGGGAGGTGGGACATAATTCAGTCCAGAGTGACCCTTCTAAAGTAGATAATTTGATATACATAAGGTTAAAAAGCTAGTAAAATATTATAACTGAGGTTCAAATATAGTTATTTTTTACCTGACTCCACACTGTCTTTCTTAGTCACAAATATAGTAAGCTAAGTTTTTATATAATTAGAATTGTAGTGACCAGGCTGGACTTGCCTTCTTAGCATTCTTCATGGTTATGATTTAAGTATCAAAATTAAGTGTCTCATTCTGTATTTTACAGAAGATGATCTAAGAAATATGGGACCAGTAGATGCTCGAGTATATCTTGAAGAAATGTCTTGGAATGAAGGTTGGAATTATTTTTTTCTCTTGGTTACAATCAGGAAAAATATTAGGGACCTCCTATAAGAAAAAAGCCATAGGATGTTCGGAAATAACAGCTTGGCTTTCTATATATATGTGGGTGTTTTTGTTTGGAATCTTCTTATTTCATTCTAAACTTCAATTATTGATGTCCACTTATGTGACTCATTTCCAGTTATTTTCCTATCCTAATTAGATGTTAGGTACTTAAGATTTCATATGGTTTTCTTTTTTAAACTACTTTGATTTTTTGTTTACTCTCCATCTGTATAACAGGGAATATAGTCAAAGGAGATAATTTTTTCCATCCTATGTTGACACTTAAGATGAATTCCTATTAGAATATGTTTATTTTTGTTTCTTTATATGGAATGATAAATTGTCAGAGCAAGGATTTTAATGTTATACATGTTATACTCTTCTACTTGGAGCTTGATGTTTAACCTCCTTTTTTGATTGTGTCTTAAGTGGAAAAGAAAAATCTGTCACTCCCTTTCACCTACCATGAAGTCATATCTTTTTCCCCTTTCCTATTAATAGAATTTAAAAACTTAAATCTAACTTAATTTTCCATTCTTCAGATTAGTTCTGTGAATTGCTCTGGTTAGGTTTTATTAAGTTCCTTTTTTTAAAAATGGAAGCCATGAATACCACAATTCCATGTTTCTCTGGGCAAATGAAGAAGTCTTACTGTTTTCTAGAATTTTATATACTCTTAGTCCTATAACTGTATTATTCAGCCTGGGGTACAGATTCCCTGGGTGTTTATAAAAATTTATTAGTAAGTGTGGATAAGTAGAAGATAAACAGCCTGTCCTTTCCGAAACCAAGTTTACTGGAATATTTTTTAATGGCAAATTCTTAGCTTAGTGCTCTGAGGAAGTTGGGCCACAAAGCTATATTGACTTAGAAGGGGAATCATGTTTTTGCCTATGAGCCACTCTGCTCCTAAACTGCCAAATGAAATCCTGGAGTAGAAATTCTTATTTGCAGTGAATGATTGGAAAACTTGAGATTTTGTGTAACTGGGGCTCCCGGGGTTCATGATAGTTTCATCAGAGTAAACAGGAAGAGCTACTGCTGTGAAAATAGAATACACTAGTGACACTGATTTCACTGCTACTTTGTGAAGGGGATAGATTAGAACATGTTTATCAGGGAGACTTGCCCAGCTAAATAATATTTTTTGAAAATACAGTATTGCCAGCTTATCAACCAGTATATGTGCGTGTGTGTCCATCTCTTATTGGACAAATTAGTTCTTCTTGTTGTAGTTGATATGACTAATATGTTTTGTTACTAATAATTCCTGATAATATTAAAACAGTGAAAACTGGTTTTTGTAATTTTTACTTCTTTAGTAAAATTTTAAAAATATAATCAATTTAAGATTTTATTTTAAATTAAGACTGTGGATTAGTGTGGTTCAAGCATCTGTTCAGTCAGCAAATATATGGGCTTTTTGATAACAAGTGAAAATGCCAAGACATTGAAAGACATATACAACATGAAATCAAGAATTATCATAAATGTTATTGTCCTTGGTACTCCCTAAAGTAAACTTGACAGTGAAGACAATAAAGAAGCATCCCAGCTACAGCCAATGAATCAGTTATAAGCAGCTACAGTTCATCTTAAAAGTACAGGATGTTCTTAGATACTTATTTAAATTAAGGGTTTTTTATCACTGCAAAGATAGAAATAGTCCTTATCCTTATGAGAGAAAATAGTGAGTAACAGCTACATGAAGCTATTATTTTTGCAGGAATGTTTAAAAACTGGTCATGTGAGTTTTGCAGTTGAATTTGCAATTTGGAATTGTTCCGTGTGATTGCAAAGAGCAGCCTTGGCAGATGAAAGTACATAAAAAGTGTGATCAACTGGACTAGCAAAAGCATTTGATGATTCCTTCATGGGCGCTTTCAGAATAACCTTGGAAGGTGAAGATCCAGAATAGGGGAAAAGTGGATGAAATCCTACATGAAAAACATAGCCAAATTATCAGCTTCTGGGTCCAGGAACAGTAGGAAATGATGCATTTTACTATGCTTAAAAGGCATACCTGAAGAACTATTGAGAGACTGAAGTTAGCCATTCCCCTTACAGTTAGTCTCTTATACAGCTTGGTTGTTTTGTCTTCATTCAGTGTATTTAAAATTATGATTTCTGTGAAGATATCACTTTAAGTGATAGTAGAATAATTTAAGAAGAAATTTAAAAATATGTGAGTTTTAGTGAGCATTAACATTTGGAATCATCTATGACAAAACTCCACAGTAGCCCATGGTGGCCTCTGCATCATCTACCAAGCACATGTCACCTCAAATTGTTTCTCAGTGTTCACTGAGGTGGTGAAAAAACAAGAGGGAGATTTAGCTCCAGAAAACCAATGGTTAGAATATGTATTTTTAGACAATTTAATAATAAAATAGTTCACTTTGAAAGCATGCTCTATTACACATATATGTTGGCTCAGATAGGGAAGATGTTAGTGTTTTAAAATTCAAGATTAAGTTATTTTTCTTTATAGAGAAAAAAGACATTGTGGTGAAAAATGAAAAGCAGGATTGTGAATTAATGTTTTCCTTACTGATAAAATAAACATGTAAAGCTGGCTTATTTAATTGCTTGTTTTTCCAAGACCAAAGTTGATTAGAGAACAAATCCAAGGCAGTTGAATATTTTTTCTTTTTCTTTTCTTTTTCTTCTTTTCATGGCATATGATGAGATCTAAGTGTTAAAAAATGAAGTTTGAGAATTGAATGAAGATATTTGATTGTAAGAAATTATATCTTTAGAGATTTAGTTCATTTAGCTCTAATTTTTTTTATGACAGTAGTAAAATAATGAGATCAGTAATTACTTTTCTTTGACAGTCACTCCTCAGTGACAGTAAAATGGAATAACCAGTGGATCAGAGATTCTTTCAGCTAAAAGACAAAGTATTTCAACTTCCTAGGAAGAGGAAACTTATAAAATTTCCCCCATTCGTAGGCAGAACGTTGCACCATATTGCCTCCTTTGGGCATCTCACTTCAGTGATTGTCCTTTTGGTTCCTAAATCATTTGTAAACACCAAACAAACAGGTACACACACATAGCCCCCACAGAAAGGACACCATAGTATATGTCTATACATTTAAGGCAGGATTCTTGAAATAGTGTGATACCAGAACAGACAGGATTCAAATGCTGAACCTGATAAACAGTCAAGTCAGCGGTTTTCTCTGAAAGGATATACTACTGGCAAAGGCATGCTCCTTAACAATAAGACAGCTAGGGCTGTTTCTCTTCTTCCTTCACAGTAATATTTTGACAACCACATTGTTCAGAAGAATGTAAAATTTACATGAATCTTAAGAAAACAGAAGACTTCAAATAAATTTCATTGGTCACTTCTGAGCATCTGCTCTCCCCTACAGGATCTTTGGTCTATTGTTTCATACCCTCAATACATTTCCTCCACAGATAAAGATTTTTTAGTAGATAATTTTTAGAAACACTGCCCCCTATATGAGAAATTTTTTCAAGTTCTCATTTAAATATATTTTATATTGACTGATCTTTTTTCTTTTGCAGTTTCTGTGGAATAGCTGCATTTTTTAAAAAGGTATTAACAAAGTAGTTACATGTAAGCATTTTGTTTTCTTTGCAGATGATCATTCTTTTTCTCTGAGTTGTCGATGTGGTGGAAAATACAGTGTTTCCAAGGATGAAGCAGAAGAAGTGACGCTGATTTCTTGTGATATGTGTTCACTAGTTATAGAACTCCTTCATTATCGCTGAGATTGTTCACTAAGTGGAATTCTTTAGTGTATTCAGACACATGGAGGAAAATCTACTCCACCTTTGTCCATTCAGGCAAATGTATAAAGCTGATTAAAAAAAAAAGGATTCTTTTTTGTCAGCTCTATTATTTGCAGAAAAAATATAACACTGTCGAAGTCCACCTAGATTAATAGAAAATTAATTTCATTATTCATATGTATTTACATTTTATATTTACAGATCGCTAAGAAAGGGGGCTTGAATTAAAAATTATATTTAGTGAATTCCCATCTGAGAAGTTTATTATTGGTGCATTTTCTCCTTGGTACAAAATATAAGAATTTTCCTTTCTTCATATAAGTGTGTCTCATCTTTTAATGGGTCACAGTATCATCATATTCCTTTATAGTTGCTAAGTTTTTGAAGTAACATATTTCTAGCTGCTAAAGTTATAGGCCTTTTGTACAACTATTTCAAATCTCAGGTCATTAGAATTAAGTTAGAATCTTCGTGAATAACATGTGAGCCTGGCTCTCCCATGATGAAGGCTGGATATGGATATTCATGAGTTATTTCAAAGTTAGTAAAGTGAACTGGCAACCGGAGAAAGAAGGAGAGCCTTGGAGTCAGAAAACCGTGGCCACTGCGTTGCTGGTATGGTGAAGTGGACTTTTTTAATGTGTTATTATTGATTATAGTAAAGCTTTTATTTTTCTATATATTTAATATTCTATGGACCGTATGAGTCAGAACTCATTTAAAAAATTTTAAGGAATCCTTTATGGGATCATTGAAACATTCTTCCTTAATTTCAAATGAGTAAGCCAAGCATGTGACTTAGCAGCTTTTCATTAGGTCAGACTCTTGGTTTATTGTTGGTGTGGACTTATAAGACTAGTTAGTACTCTGCCTTGTAAATGTAGCTAAAGTATGAGGCATATTCAAGAGGAGTAAATTACTTTCCTTATACCTGTACAACCAAAAATTTGAAAGTGAGGTTGTTCCAGGTTTTCCCTAAAAATATTTTCGTATCAGAATTTAGACGACTTATTTTGGATTACACTTTTATCCATATATTTTGAACAAATATAGCTTGCAAGAGTGGGTGTTGCTTATTCTTTACATTTAACAATTAAAAATAACTCAAACTGAATAGCAAATAGTTTATTAGTAAGTACATGGTTTCAGTGACAATAAATTCACTTTAGCAGAAGACAATAATCAAATCAAAAGAATAAATGCTTGCTAATCATCAGAGAATCTGTGGCCATTAGGGCTGTCACGTAGAAATCCAAAATCACTCAGAGGCCAAATCTGTAAAATCAAAATGTGACTGAAGACAATTAGTAAAGTGATATTATAGCATCATCACATTCCCTTCTTTTTCTCATTCATCCCTTTCTCTATGCCGTATAATTAAATGCTTTCTCCTTATTCAATCAAGAACAAATTTTCTACTTCAAAATAAGACTGTAGAAAGAAACCTGTATGTGTATGTATTTAACCTCTAAAGTTTGGAACATTCAAACATTAAACTAGAAAATAGTACGTGTGTAGTGTGTATATGTTTGTTTTTTCTTTCAGTATCGTCAGAGTTAACTGTAAACCTACGTACTTGAATATAACATCTGCTTAAGTGTAAAAAATCCTGTAAATTATCCAACAGCCCCAAATACTCATGTCTGTTTTTCTCCTGACTGCTTGTGGCAAAAAGGAAAAGCCAGTGAAAACAATAATCTTTACTATTACATTTACTACAACCATGATAAGTGCATTACTCACTATACTTAACTGGGCTATCCCTGCATTCCAGCTAGTTGCTAGATTGCTCTTCTGCAAATGCATATATATTAACATACGCCCTGGGTATGAATATGGTTGGAAAAGTTGTATGAGAGAAAAGTAAATTTTTGGAGAGTCAAATTAAAAGCTTCTTATGCTACAACTAATCTGAACTTTATTTTTCGAACAAAAATTATTCTCAATTACCTGTCATAATGGGGGAGTGGTAATGTTTATAGCTATGAAAGCCAACATGTTCATAAAGTGTAGTAGTCATTGCAACAGTTTTATATCCACTGACAGCCTAAAGATTTCAGTTCTTCTGAAAGGAACTTTTTTTTTTTGGTTTTGTTTTTTTTCCCAGCTCAGAGAAGAAAGCCTGCATTTTAAGCAGAAAACAGTAGTACCTTAAAGAAGATACGTCCTCTTATTAGTCCATATGGCACAGGTCCATAGTACCTGGAATCTGTAGAATTCTGTAGATTATCACCTTCTAACCACACATGACCTGTTGGCACCTAGAATTATAGAAGAAAGCAGCCCCTTTAAAAAAGAAAAACAAATCTGGGTACTATAAATAAAAAATCATGTCTTTTGGAGGTAGGGAGAAATGTCCTAAAGTTCTCTTTTACAAAATACATTCAAACCCTATAATTTGCATTTTTGCTGTTATTTCTTGCATAATGAAATAACTTTTACTAAATATTAATAAGTAGTATTAATATTTCAACTTTTAAAAAGACCTATCTTTTTTGCGATATGGTTCCCAAACATTAATTTGTTATGCAAACCCCAAACTGAGGTTATAAGAGATCAAAACAGTGTGACAGGGTCATTAATTTAATAGACTTCAAAAGAGGTCATTAGGATGCTGACTGAAAATGTGCCCTCCTGTCTCAATAACAGCATAAGCAGGGCAGCCACTCACTCAGCAACATCCTGGGGCCAATACCAAGGCCAGACCTATTAGAATGCTCATGATGAACTAAATGGTAATTGATTGTGACATCAATTACAAATAATCTCATCATTTTATTGGAGTGGGCTTGTCAGAATTCTAATTAAGATCCTTGTTCTGCCTTTGTACAGGCCATATCTTCAATGCATTATACTTCAATAATGACCATCAAGAACTAGAAGGACCTATTATAAAATCATCAGTTGTAAAATTAATGATGGTGACCTTCTACTAAATGAAAAGATCCCATCTTCTATATGTCTTGTTATTAACTGGGATATAACATAAATTTAAATTTTTACTCAGTGACAATCCTAAGTATATTTAGGACAGAACACATTACTTACAAAAATGCCCACTGTGATATGAGATATTTGCCCGTTAATGTCTCTTCAATATAAACTTTAAAAATTACTCTTCAGTAACAATCTTCAAAATTGCATTTTAAAGTTTCTTTTTTATAGGTTTTGTTACCCAAGAAAGTTGAATTATTGACCAGACCAAAATGATCTATGGAAAGGAATTAATTTTCACTATTCTTTTGACTGATTATTACTTGGGAACCTTATGTGAAGAAAAATATTCATATTAGGTTTAATAAGAAATGACCAGTTTTTTAAAATGTCACAAAATTTTTAAAAATGACTTTTAGAGCAGTTTTAGGTTCACAGCACAGCTGAGAGGAAGGTACAGAGATCTCCCATATACCTCCTGCCCCCACTCATGCACGGCCTCCCCATTACATCCCCACTAGAGTGGCATGTCTGGTACACTGACATCATCACCACCCGAAGTCCCATGGTTTACCTTAGGGTTCACTCTTGGTGTTGTACATTCTATGAATTTGGACAAATGTATGACATGTATCCACATCACAGTACCATACACAGTATTTTCACTGCCCCCCAAATCCTCTGTGATCTGCCTATTCATTCTCCCCCCCATCACCCCTGAATTACCTTTTGGAAAAATAAATTTATACAAGCATGTAAAATTTGAATTACAATCTAGAGATTATATAATTTTGAAATATATAATTTTGGAATGTCTTATATCATGTAGAAATATTAGCCAAAAATGAATCAAGTTACTTATTTTCATTTAGATACACTTAAATGTTAAATCTATTTGTAGAGTAAGGATAAAGTTTTTTGAAAGAATATCAGATATTGTAAGATCATTAACTTCTACTAGTGGAACTAGTTGTAGGTTCTAGGGCTAACAGCAAGGTTCATTCCTACCTATATAATAAGTAGATTTATATGTAGTGAAGCATAAGGCTGCTCAAATAGAAGAATGAGTACATCTCAGGTTACAGATGAAAAGAAGAACAAAATAGTGTATTTGGAAAAGGTAAAATAAGTCATTAAATATATTCTGAAGTACTGCCTTGGGAGAAACTACAATGTGAACATCTTGGGTGTCTAAATTTCCATAGTTTTTCCTTAATATGTGTTTGTTCCTGAGTTCTAAAAATAGGTAACATATACGAATACTTAAATACAATTATAAAGTTAGGGACACCAATAAAAGCAAAGGAGAACAAAAATCAGAAAACGAATAAAGATACTAACGATCCAGCAAGATCTTATTTTGCCTGTCCGATTGATCCAATATACATTTCCTTTCTCCATGAAGCTTTTCCCTATGTTGCCTGCACATACCAAATACTCTAGATTGTTTAAAACACTTAAAGTCTGCCCTACATGGGGCTCTGGAACATAACATCCTCTTACATGCTTGGCTTTTGTGTATGTCTACTATTTTATGACTGAAAAAGCCAACAGACAATAATCATGTCATGATCTTAAATCTTTACAACACCTAAACTGATGTTGGAACGCAAATATTTGTTGGTGATTAGTATTAGTTAAGTAGAAATTCTTGTAAAGCACAATCACTTTTGTGGCAGTTATGACCTAAGTTTCTTCCAAGTTTAGATAAACACAGTGATGAAGTATTATCTCTGGTATAGTAAAGTTAACAAGAACAGAAAGGAATCTGCTAAGAGAGACCCAGAACATACCACCAGAAACCTTCGGAGGAGTGTGACCCAGGCTGTTCACACCTAGTCCTTGACTACAAGGGGTGGAACAAAAGGGAGGAATAGTAACACAAACTAGTGTTTATACATACTTTTCTGGTCATTTTAAACACACACACACATTTGATCCTTAAAACAACCTGTGAAGTACAGTTACTGACATTTAACAGAAGTAGGTTCAAATATGGAACATGCTACCTCTTACTTACCTGAAGCCCATATATGCTAATACCCATGCATCCATTCATAGCAAAGGAATAACCTTTACATCTTAAGACTTCAATGTTTGATATAAAGTACAGACACAAGGAAACAACCTCATCACTGATGGTACCTTTAATAAGAGCTTCTCTATAAATGGGAAAACCTCTGAGTTTGAGTCTTAAAATCAAAGCAGTCACCTTTGCTGATCTACCCCTCTGTCACATATTTTCCCAGTAAAAAATTCATTATGTTTGCAGTTACTCCACTTTTGAAACACATACTTATTTTTGATATGGGGTAAGGGTGTACACTTTAAAATCAATTTTAGAGGTATACTTTACAGTAAAATGTGCTCATTTTGTTTCGACACTAGTTTTGAAAAATGTGCATTCCTGTGTAACCACCAACCACAATCAAGATGTAGAACATTACTACTATGCCCAAAAGTTCCCTCCTTTTCCAGTCCACCTCCCACCCCTACACCTCGTCCCAGGCAACTAGTGATGTTTCCTGTTTACTAGAGACTAGTTTTACTAAAGTTCATATAAGTGAGATTGCACACTACATAGTATTTTGTGTCAGGCTTTTCTTCAGCAGTTTTTAAACGATTAATACATGTTGTATGTATCAGTCATTCATTGCTTTTTACTGCTGAGTATATCCCATTGTAAATCACAATTTCTTTCCATGAACCTGTTGATGGATGTTTGTGTTGTCTGCAATTTTGGGCTGTTACAAATAAAGCACTATGAACGTTCATGTATAAGTCTGTTTCTTTTCAGTAAATATGTAGGGGTAGAATTTCTGGGTCATAAGTGTACGCTTAATCTTAAACTTTTCCAAAGTAATTATACCATTTTACACTCCCAACAGCAATGTATGAGTGTTTCTGTTGCTTCACAACCTTGGTATTTTCAATTAAAAATTTTTTTGCCATTCTAGTAGGCTATTGGTGTCACATTGTGGTTTTCCTTTGCATTTCTCTGATAAGTATTTTTTCTTGTACCTATTAGTGTATCTTTTGTGAAATGTCTATTTAAATATTTTGCCCATTTTTAAAATGGATTATTCTTATTCATTTTAAGAGCCCTTTATGTATCTTGAGTACAGGTCCTTTGACAGGTATTGCAAATACTTCTTCCCAGTCTGGGATCTTTTCTTTTGCAATTTTTAATCTGCTGTAAAGACGATATATTTTTAGGCTCTAGAAATTTCACTTGGTTCTTTTTTATATTTACCATTTCTCCCTCATTATGTTCATCCTCTAGATCCCTGAAAATATTTATAATTGGTGTTTTAGAGCACATGACTGTTAATTCCATTATGTCTCATTTCTGGATCTGTTTTTCTTCTAGTTGTGAGTTACATTTTCCTACTTCTTCACATATCTAATAATTTGTTATTGAGCTGAACATTCATTTGTTGAGTGGATTTTGTTCTCTTTTTAGAGAGCACTGAATGTTGAAGAGGTCTGTTTGGTTTTTGGAAGGTGGTTAAGTTAGCTGTGGAACAGCTTATTCCTGTCAAGCCTTGTTTTTAAGCGTTGGGTCTCTCTCACACTGTAAGGGCTAGTCTAGCTCACTCCTAAGGCATGATATTCCAGGGTCTCTATGGAATGCTCTAGATATTTAATGAGATCTGTCCACTGTGGTTGGTCAGAACTCAAATGACAGCCCTGTGTGAGCTCTGGGAATTGCTTGGCTGCTGCCAATAGCTGTTTGGTGCTCAGTCTCTAAATTTCACCATAAGCAGGCACAGTTTAGTGTTCAGCCCCAAAACCAAGACAATACTCTACATAGATTGCTGGAGATCATTCTGTAGCTCCTTTCTCCCTGGTGGTTTGATGCATAAATTCCAACCACTTAAACTTCCCTATACCCTAATCTCTGTCTCTTCAACTCAGCAAGACCACTGTCCTTTGTTTGAATTTTCCTCCTCGCACCTTCTGAAAACTGCTTTAAGGCAGAAGTTAGGGAAAGTATAAGGCTTGCCTTGTTTGTTTCCCTGCTCTCAGGAATCCGTCTTGTACTGCCTGCTGCGCATTGTCTGAAAACTGTTTTACATAGTTTGTCCAGTTTTCTAGTTCTTTATGGCAGGAGGGCAAGTTCAGCCGCAGTTACTCCATAATTGCCAGATGTTCAAAGTATCTAATATTTAAAGTCTTATTTTTTAGCATACCTCATAACAGTATGAAGAAAATCCTTTCGGTGAGAACTAAAGTTCTTGATGTAAGTAAAGTGTGTCTTTGGCATCTCTGCCTTGCATCCCCTTCAGTGGCATGCCCTGTGTGTCCTCATTTTACCCTTTCCCTA